TCTTAAAGTGAAATTGCAAGCATGAAGTCAGTTTGTATGGATAATTGCTTTATTCTATTCATTTTTTTGTTTGCTGATAGGTCCTTAATTTTTCTTTGATGGTCCTTAAAAGTCCTTAAAAGTCCTTAATTTTCATGTAAGGAAATGTGTACGAACCCTGTAAAGGTACTGCTTTCATGTTTTTTTTCCTAACTTTATTAAGAACGTTTTTTGGCAGAAAACTTCCATTACAACCAGATATATAGCATTTACATACAAAATAAAATATACAAATCAAAACTCCAACTTAAATTTTCAGTAATCTCTTAGCTCTCCATTTCAGCTTGGGAATTTCTCCTTTCCATCTCAAAAATCATAACTGCTTATCACAATTCTCTCTGTTGTTGTTGTTACTAATCCTCGAGGCTAGACGAGATCTATGTGTTTATTCACTTTCAAAAGTCATAAATTAAGATAGGAGACTTAATCAAGTCATCGTAGGACAAACCCTAACACCTAACGATATGTGCCGGAGAAGCCTGCTCAGTGTTACATTTCGTACAAATCAGGTGTGTTGACCCGACCACCCTCGAAGGCAAGGCTTCTTAAATGGCCACTAAGAAAGTGGGAGAGTGCCATGTGGGTGCATCTGTCACAGTTCATAGCAAGGGATCCACCAGGAGATTCAACCCTATACCAAGAGTGTGTCAGAGGGACAAGCCAAGTCATTTTATCAGTATATTCTCTGGCAGAATAAAGATAAGTTAGACAATTGGAAGTAGCCAGAGCCTCCTCAGCACTCTTCTTTGCCAGGACATGTGCATCTTCATTTCCCCAAATGTTCACATGTGAGGGAATATACTGAATGTACACATCATAAGTGGATGAGACTTGTTTTAATTGAGTGAGAATTGAAGTTTCAATTTTGTCAGCGTTACAATCAACGTTACACCAGTTTGAAAAATGTTGGATGGCACTATAATTATCAATCATAATCCAGATAGCTTTAGTCTAAAAATGACACTATATAGCTCAGTCCCTCATCAATAGCAAAGAGTTCACTTTTAAAAACTGAGCTAAAGTCAGGAATTCTTTTCTTTATTTTGACGATTCCATTGAAATCTCTGATAAGTACTCCACAGTCAACTTGAGAATCCTCATTTTTGCTACCATCAGTATACATAATCATAGTGCTGTTTGGGATGTTATTTACAATTTCAAGGGCAAATTGTCGAAGACAAATCAGCGCATCATTTTTCTGTGTGACCCTTGACAGTAGTTCAGTATGGAAACTGACCCTTGGAAGACCCATTGACGGGGTCAATTTATTGCTTCAAGAAGCATTGTTCTACCATAGCGTCAAGTAAGTTGCTGTTCTCAATCTGACTAAAAGGGCTGTGTTTCTTAAGTCTTTCGTTATTATGCCAATGCCACAATAAATCCGAGGTATAATTTATTTAACTGTAGCTGTAAAGTTTATTGTAATACTTCACTAGGCTCGAGTTCCTTCTGAAACTCAGGCTGAAGGTCCACCTCAAACAACACAATATCACTTGGGCAGCTGTTACATAAGCTAGTTATAACTAGAAAGACACTAAGCTGCACTCTCTCCAATTTATGGAGGTTAGTTGTAGATACGCAATAGTTAATAGGAAGGCCGTATTCCAAAATGGGATGGATATTATCCAAATAAGTAGCTCTTAAAGTTTCTGCGTCGGCACCCCAATTTTGTCCTGCGATATATTTCAGTATACTAAGCCATTTTCTACTCTTCAGCAGTAATGCCTCCACATGCTTGTTGCTAGTAAATTCAGGGTCTAGAGTAAAAGTGAGATATTTAGGATGCTTCTTGAATTTGAGAGGTATATCAGCCATAAAAAGTTTTTGGTTGATAATTATACAACCAATTATTAGTAGTAATAAAGCTGACAATAGATTTAGTTGGATTAAAAGTCAGCTTATGATCTCTGGAAAAGCTCCAATGTCTGCTAGGGTAAAATTAATATTAGACTCTATTTTATCAACATCTGAGCCAGAGCTCCAGAGGGCAATATCATTTGCATATATACTGACTTCACATCTCTCCTTTATTACCTTTTCAGCACCAGCTAAATACAGGGAAAAAAGAATAAGGCTGAACACTGAGCCTGAGGTATTCCTGACTCATCTTAAAACTATTTGACATGGCAATATTGAGCTTCACGCTAAACAGTCTGTCTCTCAAGAAATCATAGACCCAAGATAAAGCCTTTCCATTAATACTAAAAACCTTGTATAGTTTAACAATCAATTTATGTTTCCAGACCCTGTCAAAAGCTTTTGACAGGTCCAGAAAAGCAGCCACTGTATGATTTGTCACATGAAGGTTTTGAGCATCTCTGATATTCTGGCAGAGGTAGAGAACCTTATCTGTTGTACTGTCACCTCTTCTGAATCCATACAGTTCCTTTGGGAAAAGGTTATGGTTGTCAAATGATAAAGCAATCATTTCTGGATAATTTTTCCATAACTTTGAACGATATACAAGTCAGACCAATGAACTTATAATTATTGGGAGATCCATGCACTTGCCCTGATTTTTTGATAGGAACTATAATGGCTTTTTTCCATTCCCTCGTCAGTCGCCCAAGATTTCAAGATTGATTAATAATGTTTAAAAGTCTTTGCCTTGCACCAGTGCCGAGGTGACTAAGCATCTGGCCATGGATGCCATCAGGTCCTGTGAATTTAGTCAGGCCAAGATCTCTCATTGCCATCTCCAGCTCATATACTATAGAGAAGATTTTACCAAATAAAGTATAGCTTGATACTGAACTGCATCTGCCATGAGCAAGATTTCTAGACTTTTTTCCTCTATTGTCTTGTCTACAGAAGTAAAAGTTAATTTACTCAACTTCTGATAGTAACGTTCCAAGTAAGACAGCTGCAGTTTTTCTGTCCCTGGAAATATTCCCGTCCCGTTCCAGGATAGTATTTATTGCTTTATATTTCCTTTAGGAATAGTCTTTTGTTGGTGCATCAAAGAGTAGGGTCTTAAAAGATCACCAATTTGACTCAAGATCAGAAGTGCAATGCTCAGAATCAATCTTTGCGTTCACAAGAGAATAGAAAGTATGCCAGTCCGCCTTGCCAAAGTTCCAGTATTTTTTACAATTGAAAAAGGTACTTTTTTTCTTATTTATTTCAATTAGGAGTGGCAAGTGTCGCTCCCAATATTTTTCAATATATTTCAAGTGCAGCTTGGAAATTCAATAGGGCTTACAATACAGATGTTGAGGGCTTTTGATGTATTACAGTACAGAGTCCGTAATCCGGACTCGTCGGGACTTCAGCAATTATGGATTAGGGGTTCTTCCGGATTATAGATCATCAGTTTAAATCTGGTAAGATGGCATGCAGAAATTATACAATTAAAAATATGAAACCATAATTTATGAAATAAAGAGCAATGATGATCTAAAGGGTATTAAAATTTACCAAAAAAAAAAAGCTCAATATTTATCTGTTTACTTTATTAAACATTTCTTTCAGTATAAGTTGTTTACATTGCATCATTTTTATGTGCTAATACTTTCTCTTTAATTCTATAAACAGACATACTTTCTTGTTCAGTTACAAAGTTCCACCGTTCAAGTCCTGTAATTGCTGTGTCGAGAATGCCGACTAACTTGTCAATCGAAAATTTTTTCGTTTTCAATAACGTCTCTGGCACTTTCTTCACTATCGGAAGCGGCATTTTCTGGATCTAGAACCATGCTACATATTTCGCCGTTCGTTAATTGATTGATGATTGGGGCATTGTCGTTGCAATGAAAAACTTCTGCTATATCATCTTCATTTATTACCGCTTCTCCACATTTCTTTACAAATTCCAATAACTCGAAAATTTCACCTTTAGTTTGCGATGTCTGAAAACCTTCAAATTCGCGGCTATCATCTTCATTGTCCTCACCGTGAAATATGGTAGCTGGCCATAAATTATGCCAAGCGTTTTTTAACATATCTGGAGACACATCCTCCGAAAGTGCATGCAAATTACGCACTAATTTGTGCTTTTTACTCCTCAGCAAGTTCCAGTATCTGATCAAGTTTAACTCTCACCGCATTGGTCAAATTCCTTTTATGTTGTACTGAATTATCCTAAGCAGACGAGTTTTGGGAGACTGTAATCGATTTTTCAGATGAGGCCTTCTTCCTAAACCTCCAATACTCTTTAAACTCCGTCACTTCACAATTAATGTTCCTCGCATCATTCTTAGATAATGCTAATTGTACATATACATATATAAAGCTGAATTAAAACTAAATCATTCTGAATTGGTTTTTCATCGCAGGTATGATGAATTCCATGTCTCGCTTCTCTGCTTGAAAGCATTCTCTACTATGCATTCTGTCTTGAGATACTAAAAATCTTAAATTCGTTAAAAAATAGGCATGCTTAGGACCAGTTTATAATTGATACGCCAAAAATGTTCATCTGCAAAAAATATTATTTCACTGGCCACAATTCCAAGTATCTCTGTCTCCTCTTAAAAATTATTACACACACACATGCACATACAAATATAATAACTAATTAACAGATATTAAAAAATCCAGTTTCATGAAATTAAGTTAAATTATCAAAAATATTTTGAATATATAATACATACAAAGTGTAACAATATGTGTGTCAATAAAATATGTGCATAAAAATTAAAACTTATCTTCACCAACATAAATTTTACTGACACACATAATTGTTGAACTTGGTACAAATTACATACTGAAAATATTTTTGTTAATTTGTCTTAATTTTGTCAAATTTGATTTTGTTAATTTCTGTCAATTCATTATTATGATAATTCTCTTTGCCTAGGATACAACCTAGGATTGCTGCCTAGGATACAACCTCATGAGATTTTCACATTTTTTTCCTACTTAATATATGTATAAAATTTACTTGGAAGTATGAAATTGTATGCTTTTGGATTTTAGCATAGAGTTGTTAATAGCTGTAATTTTTCTCCCTTCTCATATAGGATCAGCATATTGTAGGGCAGAAAATTCTATATGTCAACTTATCACAAAATTTGAGATTCCATTTTTGCCCACACCGATGGGTAAGGGGGTAGTTTCTGATAATAGCCCATTCTGTGTAGCATCTGCAAGGTCCAAGTAAGTTTTTTAAATGTTGTAATTAATTAAATTATAGTTGTTCACCCCCAGAAAATTTTATGGTGAAAGCTGTTCAAAAAGAGGGGAACTAGTGTGAAATTTTTGTGTTCTCTTTGTAATTATTTCTATTATATACTTCAGCTCAAAAATTTATCTTTGTCTTAATTGCTTATTAGTAACTTCATTGCAAATGAAATATAATAATAAATTTCCTTAACAACTTATAAATTGCAATTTTCTACATACGTAGCGTATTCGGAAACTAAGTACCGTTTCATTCTAGCGCCGTCGCAGCGCTGTGGTAGGCGTTCCGCGCATGCGCACTAGTCTTTCTTGTTCACTGACTTTCAATTGTTGCTATTTTGGTTGCTCTATGTTGTGTTTTCAGTTTGCTGTGCACATTCAAAATGTTTAAGACAATTAGTTCTCCTGCTGACTGTGAGATTCGTGCCGTGATTAAATTTTTGAACGCGAGGAAGGAATGTTAAACCGGCCGAAATTTATCGTCAAGTGACAGAAGTGAAGTTACGGTGAATACGCGATAAGTGATGGAATGGTGAGAAAGTGGGTAAGAATGTTTAATGCAGGTCGAAAAAATGTCCACGCCGAGGCTCGGAGTGGTCGGCCTTCTGTTATCACCGATGATTTGGTAAGGAAAGTTGATGAAGCAATTCATGAGAACAGACACTTCACAATGACAACTCTTTCAGAGGCATTTCCACAAATTTCATGTACTGTTTTGTTCGAAATTGTGTCTGACCACTTGAATTATCGCAAACTGTGTTCCCGATGGGTTCCAAAAATGCTCACTGATGTTCACAAAACAAAGCGACTTGGTAGTGCCCTGACATTTCTCACGCACGGTACAGTGTACAGTGATGAGGGAGAGAAAACTTTTTAAACCAAATTGTGACAGGCGATGAAACTTGGGTGTGTCATTTCACACCAGAATCGAAACAACAATCGATGGAGTGGAGACACACTCATTCTCCGAAAAAACAAAAGTTCAAAGTGATAATGTCATTACAAAAAATCATGTGTACTGTCTTCTGGGATAGGAAAGGCGTTTTGCTTACTGAATTTCTTCCCAGAGGTGAAACCATTAATGCGGCACAATATTGTGAGACTTTAACAAAACTAAGGCGTGCCATTCAAAACAAACGAAGAGGAATGCTGAGTAAAGGAATTGTGTTGCTCCATGACAATGCTCGGCCCCATACTGCTGGTGTCACTCAATCGTTAATTCGACAGTTTCATTGGGAGCAGTTCAATCACCTGCCGTACAGCCCGGACTTGGCGCTGTCCGACTATCACTTGTTCCTGCACATGAAGCGCGAGCTTGGTGGCAAACGCTTTGGATCTGACGATGACACGAAAAATGCTGTGAAGTCATGGTTATCGAAACTGGCGGGAAGTTTCTTTGACGATGGTATACAAAAACTGGTCACCTGCTATGACAAGTGTTTGATCATTGGTGGAAACTATGTTGAAAAATAGTTTAAGACATGTATTTTCATGTAAAAATAAAATTGGATTCGAAAAAATTGATTTACTATTTTTTTTTTTCAAAACGGTACTTAGTTTCCGAATACGCCTCGTATTTCACATTTCAATTAAATGGTGGATATTTTTTTTATTTTAAAGATTTCCTTATAAAAATATTATGTAAAAATTTCCTTCTCTTCATGTTTCAGTCTGTAGTGATGACAGTTTAGGATCCTTTTCAGGCATTAGGCTTGAATCTGAAACATGAGATTGTTTGTGTTTTATTAATTATAAATTGATTAAAATGTGAATGTAAGCAAGCTGTATGTAGCACACTTCTACTTTGGCATGATGGGAGGGTGGCAGTGATTTCTGAAGGGAAAAGCAGATAATAGGCCACTATCAGCACTGTTTTTTAGTGACCATTTGCTAAGCAGAACAGTTATACAATGATCATAAAGAAGTCCTCAGCAGGGAGGAAGCTGCTTTGGCATAGCAATGAACCAAAATGGTGGTGGTGTATTGGAGCAGCTCAGCATAGGTACAACATCTCATTATCCAGTTATACACTTTACTGTGGTGTGAGTACCAGTTAATTCAAGGCTGTATGTAGTGCCCTTTTAATATCAATGGATTTTTTTAATTCCTTAAATATTAGAATATTAGTAAGAAATAACAGTACTTTTCCGTTTTGCCGGCACAGGCAATAAAGTCACCAGTAATGGTACAACTGATGCCAAACAGAATATCCTCGCTAGTAACCTTTTTACGCCTAATTTTCAAAACAAGTCTCAACCATTTCTTATCAGATTGATTGTTTCTTTCAATACTAGCATACAATTACATAGAATTTTTACCAGATAGTTTAATTTTATGCCCTAAGGCCATTTGCGGTAATTAAGTCAATTAGGATGCAATCACACTGCTCACCCAAATTCGAAAATATAGAAGGGGCAAAGTCAAGGGTTAAGTTCCTCAGTTCTAAACAGAATGCACAAGTAAAGTAAAGCAAGGCGGTTTTACATAATTTCTGAGTAAGCTATTCGTACGAATTGAAATAATTCTTGCATTTAAACTTGTATTCCGAATTAAGATTTAACTTGAAATTAATGTAGATAATTACTGAGAGAATTAGACTTTTGTAACATAGTTTATGTGAGATGAGATCACTTGGGGTGACGTGATATGAACCGGCGAATCACGATGTTGAACCATGAAAGCAAGTAAATTCTTAAATTAATGTCTTTTTTTAAATTTATTGGCCTTTTTACAAAATTTTAAACAATATTAAAATGTTTATGCCTTCAAAATAAAAAATTCTTAGAAATAACATTTGTTAACATTTTTTTATGTGTATACTGTATGTTGTCGCCAATATAGCCTGCTTGGAGAGATTTGCACCAGTGAAATGAAAAAGTACCAAAATAACTTTAAAGAAGCAGTAATAAACTTATCACTGAATGCAGTTAACTTTCTATTTGTAACAGCAATGCATGATAAAACAAGATAAACTTTAATATCCATCTCAGAGTAGAACCAAATGTTTATTACAAACTTCATTGCTTGTCTGAAAGATAATGACAGTAAAAATACATCTCATTATGTGCCAGTAAATGCTGTGTAATGACAGGACACTTCATTAGTAAAAATCCTATTTTTCTTACCTTCGAAAACTTATTATGAATAAAGTGTTGCAAGTTATAAACTTCCATAGCTGCTCTTCAAATTGTTCTGTAGAATAAAATGAGCTACACATTTGTAGTTTTAGCTGTAATGATAATTTAGATCTCTTCTGTTTTGGGAAAATTACCAACAGTTTACCATTTAAATAAAATTGCGTTCAACTGTAAAAAAAATTAAACAGTGTGCTCATCAACAACTTATATAATAAAAGTGGGATATGTTTATGTATATTGAGGGACTTAGAAGCAGTGTGGTGAGTAAGAGATGGGATCTGCAAAGGAATTATTATGACTTAAAAGTTATAGATCAGAAGATAAATGCTTTCAGAGAAGAATTATAAATTTTTAATTAGCAGTAATGAATGAGATGCAGTTTTCAGGGAATTGCTGTTAGTATCAAATATTGCTTTGAACATCCTCTCTGAAGTTCTTGTAAGCTGGTGTGTAATAATATTAGTTTGATTGGTGTATTTGTCACAGGCTAATTGAAATAGCTTACTTATTGCAAAAGGCATCACCATTTTGCAATTCATCTAGCTTAATAGAAAATTATTTAACACTTTTGAATTAGCCTGATACATTTTATAGGTGTATTGTAATGAGCCCAAATACCTTTAGGTTAATTAGAAAATGTGCAGTTGTTCTGATAGGCAAGTTATATCCAGGCTTGTTGCGGTGAGCCCAGAGTAGGGAAGGCTTATTAAGAGAGTGTAAGCAAAAAGAGATTATTCTTTCAGTATGTATCTTGGTGAACTTTTCATTTAGTTCTCAGATACCTAGGTAACTGTAACTAATTTATACCGCCGCCCATGAACTGAATCACATTCGGGGTCTGACAACAAACCAGAGATAGTCACACAAAGATGAATTTTTACACACCAACTGGGCCCAGGGTCCCACATCCCCGGGACACCAGCAAATTTAGAACTCCCTCCACTGATCGCTCAACGAACAGCAAGCCCACCGCTAACACGAACCAGTCGAGACCACCGTCCCGGCTGGACCAAGACCACAGTGGGGTGGGCGATAACAACTTGGAGCGATGACTGGCCGTTGATTGAGGCTACCTGCCAGCACTACACAGGATGCCCCTCTCCTTAGGCTTTACATGGAATACCAAGGACAGCAGTGACCAGACACTCAATGGTCCAATTTGCTATTTAGCTACCAATACCCTGGTGGAGGGGACTAACACCTCCCGGCCCATGAAGAGCAAGTATGGACTTACCCCATGGACCATCAGGAACCACCAAGTTAAAAAATATTATACCCTGGTGGCCGAGACTGCCTAGGTACAGATCCTAGCCAGTACTGCGCAGAGTACTCTATGTCGACTCCCGGGGGGAGATACCTAGGTAAGAAAAAGGTAACTTAAAAACTGTACAGCAAACATATTTGTTTATAGAATTATTATTGTTGTTAAATAATAATTGTTGTTATTAACATAAACAAATTGTTAAAATGCAAATAATGATGCAATAGTAAACTAAATTAGACTAACTTTTAGACTTTGAATATAGTTCCCACACCAGCAGTCTGCAGTTGTGAGCTTTATTTTCATTCATTTCCATTCAGTGAAATCTTTGATATCTGCTTTGCCTTTTTACATTCACTTTTTTTGTTTGGCACTGAGTGCTTGTAATATTTATACCTAAGGCCTCCAAAATTTAATCATACATTACAGCTTCATGAATATATTTTTCTGAAATGAGTGCAAGGATCTGTGCACCAGAAACCTGGAAGTCCCATTTTGAAAACCATGCTTTCAAAATATAATTATTTTCTCATCTTGTAGACCTTATTTTGTACCTTAAGAAGTTTTCCAGTTAAATTTGTACAGTCTACAATTTATTTTCAAGGCATTTATTAAGTAAAATCCCCATTTGCAGCTGGTTTCATTTTTTTCCTAGTAGATTTAATTTGGGGGGGGGCTGCTTCTTTCAGGTTTTCTTGTACTTTTTTATGTTCCTTTATTATTTTAATACTTTCTGATTATCCTTACCTCCACGAAAAAGTCATGAAGTAATTGGAGACTTCAGAGAGAAATGTTTTTTTGGGTGTCTTTATATCTATTTCAAAAATGCATCCAGGGTTTTGCTTATTTTTTTACATTCATTAAAAAAATTATAATATAACAATAATCTTAAAACAATTTTATAATATGCTGTTATTCTTTTAATTTTTGCTGTGATCTATTTTCACTAAAAACAGAGAGCTGCACAAACTCGGTATCACAAAGTGAGCTATTTGATATTCTTCACCTTCTTTTGTGTTTCTCTTTCTTTTCTACCCTCTCTAGGTCATTCAGATCTTCTTTACAGTCAATTTTTCCTGGTATTATTGGTGGAATATTCTTTGGGTCTATTTTAACATTGGTCCTTTTCTAAAAAGTGCTGTGTAAACATTTTATTCTGTGACTGTTTCAAGGAGATTTTCTGCCACTTAACAAAATAGCACCTTGTTACCCAATTTGTATTTTCTAGCATGTAACATATTTTCAATATGTGTGCTGCAGCACTGTGTACTTTCCTCTGATTGTGAATGTTGTGGTCTTCCATGAATTATTTTACAAAGCATAAAGCTGAAAAGTTTCTTAATCATATCAGCTGTAAATTCATGTCCATTTTTGTTTTACAAATTATCATGCACACCATACAAAAATAGCTTCAGAATTTCCAGTGCAGTTTCCACAGTTTACTTTTTGTTGAATGGGAAAGAAGACAAAATTTATTAGATGATCTCAATATTTCATTAATTATTTGTATCCTTCATAGGGAGTTGATTGAATATCAACCGAATCAACATGGCTTTAAGGGTTAAAATCCTTTGTAGTGAATAGTAATGCAACAATACATTATTGTTGATATATTTTCAAAATACTCATTCTTGAAAGTCCAAATTCAGCTACTGATCTAGGAACAAATTTATTTTTCAGTGCAATTTTTAGCACTTCATCTCTTCCACGAAGTGCAGTAGTGCAGTGATATTGAAGTGTGTCAAGATATTAGTCAGAGAAATTATTACTACAACCAGATCGTTTTTTTTTTTTAAATTAATATACTTTTTTTTCACCTACCATCATAGTGTTGTATTTTCTAGTTAATCCATACGAATTTCTAACATTTGAAAGTAAAATTCTTTTATAAATTCATTTAAAATTTCTTCTTTCTTTCTTCTTTTGTGAACTATGGCTATTTAATAACATCTTCATTCTTGTTACTGTATTCTTTCATTTTTTCATCAATGTATACTTTTGTGTTATAATGTTCATCATGGGGATCACTTCCACCTTTGTTCATGTTCTATGTACTGTGCTTGTAAATTTAAAAAAAAAAAAAAAAAAAAAAAAAAAAAAATTGCTAAAGGTTCATTTAGTCTTGATGATGTACATCAAGATAAAGTTAAAAGGCAAATTGTCAGTAGGCTAATTGAAAAACCTAGCTTATTGCAAAAGGCACCAAAATAAAAATACAAAGTATACCTTAGCAGAATACAAAATATTGAGATAATTGAACTACTACTGAGTAGTGTTAAGTCAGGAGAGAGATTTTTTACCATCTATCACCATGAAAATTTAGATAGGTTTTTGGCAACTTAGCAGCATCATTATTTTCAGTATATCAGTCTGAGATGTGAGGCCTATTGCAGTTAGCTTGGTTGAAGCCAGGTTGTTTGAATGAACATTTGCACATTTTCTAACTTACTTAAATCCTTCATTGCAATAAGCCTAAAATACCTTATGCTGATTAGGAAGTACTACATAATTTTCCACTAGCTGGATGCATTTGTAAAATGAGGATGTCTTTTACAATAATACTGATTTTTCATTTAGCCTATGACATGTATTAAGGATCAGTTAATGCAACTGAAGTTTTTCTTGCAGAAGCAACACATACAAATTTCAATGAAGAACATTTTCCCCTTTTACGAACACAATGTTCCTTATGTTCAGGGTTTCTACCAACAGGATAATGCAATCCTTATCATGCATAGGCTCACTGAAAATTCTGTTGTTTTCAGATATTTCATTTACCCTCCTCCCCTACTCCCTGTAGTTGAAACTTACTGAAAACTTATACGACACATCATGCAAATCTTACTGTCTTATAGATTCTAGTGTCTTGCTGATTAAATTCTGTTTTGAAAAGCTATGATTATTTGATAAGAAGATAAGCATTTTTAATAAGGTATAAATATTTTGGCATACTTTGATGTAAATATGATGCAGTTTTACATTATTAAAAACAAATATTTGTCTTTTAGAAGACAATTATGGTTTATCATTGTTATAAGACAATTAAAAATGTAACGTGAAGTGGCATTAATAATATTTCATATTTGATTTATCATTCATATTAAATTTTATTTTTGAAAATATGGTTACTTTTAAAATATCAAATACATTTTGATTCTTTTAGAGCTCTTGCTGGGGCTGATGTCGTATTGATGTTAGGTGCAAGGCTTAATTGGATTCTCCATTTTGGAAGGCAACCTCGGTTCAGTGGTGATGTAAAATTTTTGCAGGTATATAATGCAAAATTTATTTATTTTTTAATATCCTATATGAATAATTTTTAATTAACTTTCTGTTAAGTTATATATGTCATATGCATTTAAGCATGAACAGAATTTAAATGTTTCCATCTTGTGTGCAAAATCTTATTTTCTTGCAAATTACTGTTCAGTTGTATTTCATTGTCATTCAATTGTATTCAACTTCAATTTATATTCTATTAGTTAAAAAACATAAGGCTACATTCTTGATTACCATTTAAAAAAAATTAATACAATATCTGTATGCATTGTTATCTCTTGATAAGAAGACTGATAAATAAAAATAAAAAATGATAATTTTTTATGCTATCTTAAAAAAAATCTTGTACTTTGTTTTTTAGGTTGATATAAAAATGGAAGAACTACACAATAGTGTTCAAGCTACTGTAGGAATTGTTGGTGATATAGGAGCTGTTGTTAATCAGGTACATAATTTTCATCTTATTTATATATTCAAATTTTTTATAATCATTACTGACATCTTTCAAGTGTTTTTTTTTTATTTATTTGCAGTTATGTAAATTGGAGTTATCCAAAGTAATAAAAATACTTTAAAATAAATATCATTTTGCATATGTTCTAAAGGCTATGTAAAATAGAAAATTTCTGTAGTGGTGTGTAAAACTTTGTTGATAGTGAAGGAAGCAATAAATCAATGATTTAATAAAAATTCAAACTCTTGCTGCCCACCTGGTTGCTGTATTTTATACCCTCAATTGCAAAATTAATGGGGATATTAAAAGGTATTGTATCTAAAATCATGATAGTATTCAATGTTGATAATAAAACATTGTCTACAAAACATAGCTGTGGGAGAAAGATAAAACTTAATACTGAACTAGGAGGATATTAAAGGAAATTGTTACATTTAAAAAAAAAAAAAAAAAAAAGAAAGAAAGTCTACTGTAGCAAAGGTGACTGCTAAGTGTAGTGTAGCTACAGAACCCTATTTCCTCAGATACAGCATAAAAGAAATGGTATAAGTAAAATATTTATGGCAGAGCTGTTATCCTCTAACCTCTTATGTCACAAATAAATACAAAGTAAAAATTAAAGGGGTGCCTAGAATTTAAAAATGTAGAATGCTGATCAGTGAAAACAACTGCTATTTTTGGACATCACAGTCTTTACAGTATTCTGTACTTCAGGATGGATTTATATGGGTGAAGAACAGCAGCAAAAGCTTACAATGTAGACTGACTGTTTCCTACAGTAAAACATGCTGATGGTTGAGTTATGCTTTGGGCATTTATATTTTGGTTTGCAGCAGATCAAAAAAAAAAAAAAAAAAGAATAAATCGGGATGATAGGTAACCATGTTCTTTCCATGGTATGGACACCTTTTCTTATGTATTACTGAATCTTTCAAAATAATAATGTCCTTTTCACAGAAATCAAATTTTGAGTCATGATGAGTTTGAAGAATATGAAGTTACATATCTTCTATGGCTAATATAAAGAGAGAATGTTTGTTAAATTCTATTTCTTTAATGTGTTTTTGTTCAAGAAATTCAACTTCCAATCTTACTGAATAAAAAAAATGTATTATCATAGTATAGCACAATTCTCTTAATTTTCACTTGATGCAAAATTTGATACAAAAATTTCGGGAATAAATGGTGGTTAGCTGTAACTACAGTTAGTTTTAACTGCCTTCTGTTCCTCTAATTTCATGGCTATGACCAGACCTGTGTTTGTGAAGACTATGACATGCATTACTTTTTTCATTCCCTTTTTTCTTTTCATTATTGTTGATTTGGGTGAGGTATCTTCAAACACAAATATTTTACTTCCTTGATATTATGTTAGAACATCAAAAACATTATATATGTTTCATCACCACTTATGATTTTGAAAGTAATGTAGTGTCCACCATCAAAGCGGTTTTACAGTTTCTTTACTGATTCTGACATGCTCTGTGTATTGGTATTCTGTTAATTTTATGGGAACCCAACCACAAACTAAATTTTTCATTTGCAGCTCTTCATGAATAGTTTTATATATAGCTTCAGATCTAATGTTAAATTTCTTTTGTATTATTTTAAAGGTACAGTGATAATTTTTGGCACAATATGTCATAAAGGTCTTCATATTTGTTGTTCATCTTGGAACTCTAAGGAATTCTACAAATCACTGAATGCAGTAGCACAAGATGGAGCTTCATTTCCATGTGCTAATTGTAGATATCAAGGGCATTCTTGATTTAGTCCCTCTTTTATAGACAACCATAGTATAAGAATGCTGTCATATCAGCTCCCTTTTCCTTTCTTTCGAAATTTGTTCTTGTAACAGTTGCAATAAATTATCATTTTCAGATATCAAAGAGTTCAGATTTGCAGATCTAACAAAGATTTTTTTTTATGTACACTGCTGGCCACCGTAAATGCAGCACCCTGAAATAACATGAAATTTACAACATGCATGAGCGGAGGTGAGATATGCAAATGATTAGAATTTCAGCGCAGACGCACATCACGCGCGCCCTGTGGCGCGACTTCAAAGCGCTATTTAAGAATTTGGAAGTTTTCGACGATTTCAAATTCGGCAATTGTGTTTTTTTGGGTTTTTTTTCCAAGAAAACTATCAATTAGGCGTCGTAAGTAAACAGCGATCATCGTTTGATCAAGCATCCAAGTTCGAGAGAAGAAAGGATAGTGGCCTACTGAGAGAGTGGATTATTCTTTCAGGGAAATCGGTAGTCGTATTGGACGAAACCAAACAACTGTAATGCGCATATGTGACCGTTGGATGCAGGAAGGATACGACAGACCGACGTGTTCGATTGCATCCACCTTCCAGTGTGCACTACTTCACATGATGACAGGAACGTTGTGCGCATGGCAGTGATGGATTGCTCAGTCACATCACGAACTAGCACAGCACATTCAGTCTGTAATGCATCATCCAGTGTCTGCATGGTACCATTCAACGCCTGTTTACAGCAGAGTGGTCTGTCTGCAAGATGTCCATTGCTTTCGTCTACCCTTTGATGCAGAACCACAGACATCTTCGCTGCATCAATGGTGAGATGAAAGAAGGATCTGGATGGCAGAATGAAATGAAATTGTCTTTACTGACGAGTCATGCTTTCTGTCTGCAACACCACGATGGTCGGATTTCGAGTCTGGAGACACTCCGTCGAGAGAGGATGCTGAACAGCTGCATTATGCACTGCCGCACTGGTCCTACACCGGGTATTATAGTTATGGGGAGGTATTGGATATCACTCTCGCACTCCCCTCCAATACACACTGCCGGTAATTTAAACAGCCAGCGCTACATCTCTGAGGTGTTGGAGCCAGTTTGTCTTTCTTTACCTTCAGAGCTTGTCCACAGCCATATTTGAATAGGATAATGCGCGACTACACGTGGCACGCATTATCCAAGGGTTCGTCGTCAATTGCCAGATTGAATTGCTTCCCTGGCCGGCCTCGCTCTCTACATCTTTCGCTGATAGAAAGCATGTGGTCCATGGTTGCTGAACGATTGACCCAGATTACATCACAAGCTACCACACCAGATCAACTTTGGCAACGTGTGGAAGCTGCTTGCTCTGCTGTACCCAGGGTTCGTAGCGGTCCTTACAAGTGCTATAAGTCCTTATATTTGAAAATAAAAATAAAAGCCCTTATAGGTGCTTACTTTTTCTTTAAAGCCCTTATTTTTTTGTTTTTAGTGCTTATTTTTTGCTTTTAGTGCTTTTTTTAAAATCCTTTGTTTTTCAATGAATGCGCATTTTATCCCCGTAGCAAAGCCAAACTAAATAAACAACTTTACTTTCTTATATGCAACGTCAGATGGTGAATCATACTCCCGAAAATTGCTTCCCCCCTTCCTCTGCATTAACGTAACCTATGGTGCGCGCGAGAGTACACGTCGTTCTGTTGCACGTCGTTCTGTTGGCCAAAGAATGCGAAAACGTAGAAAATTCCAGTACATTCGGTATTCTTTTCCTTCCACCCAAATACTACACACGTTGAATTTCTATCAAGATTTTAATAATTTGCATTCTCATTCCGCGTGGTCAGTTCATATTCGTGTTTATTATGACAGGGTTCATACGGTTCTTAAAAGTCCTTAATTTTTCAAAATGATTTTTGGTCCTTAAAAGTCCTTAATTTTGGCCAAAATGAAAAACGGTCCTTAATTTTGCTCATTTGACATTTCTTATCATTTCTAATGATTGCCATTCTAAGTGTGAATTGCAATTTCTCATGAATATGGAATTAAAATTACACGGCTCTTAACCAATCTGTTGGCGGATTTGCGTTGCAAACGATTAAAAAAAATTACAATTAACCTAGCCATAGAATGAAAGTATCGGGTGTCTGATTGGCTATTCACCTCAATGTTTTGAAACAGGTGTTATCCATAAATTTAGGCAGATTGTGACGAAAGCGTGAAGCCAGAAGTTCTTTAAGAGGCGAAAAGTGATGATGAAGGTGCTCGAAAAAAAAAAAGGGGGGAGATTCTGAAAATATTTGCCAAAATTAGAAGCAATTCCAACCTGGAAGGCCACAACCCCTTCCGACGCCAATAGGAACCGAGATGCCTGGAAAAGTGCATTTTCAATAAACTGTGGCTTCATCAAGGCTGGACTACAAAGACTGGATATTGATGGATGGCAATCCTTATAAATGCTAAATGGGGTTTTTGTCTGAAACAAATTGAAAGTTTCTAGGAATGGGAGAGTCAGCGTTGAAAATTCACATGAAAATTAAGTTTCGTTTTATCATTTCAATTTATTTTTACATGGTTTTGCTTAGCTTAATTTCTGTGTTAGTTTTTCAATTAAGCCATAAATTAATTTTTTATCACCTTCTACGGAGTTTATTCTCTTTTGCACATACTATATGTATGGGATATCGGGATTATGAGTTTATTTCTGCAGAGGGTCTGTTATCGATTTCGCGGGAAATCTGTTGGCTCCATTTCGATTTTAGGTCGCCAAGGGCAAAATTCGGTAACGCTAGCCGAGAAAAAAGTGAAGTTCGGAAATACGTTTGAAGCTTCAATATACAATTAAGTATTTGGTTTAAACCTATGTTGTTGATAGTAATGCATAATTTTTGCTAATCGCGATACAATTATTAGTTGAAAATAACTAATTAAAATTTTTTAATATTTTTTAAAGCTGAAAACAAACGAATTGAAACTAATTTTCCTGAATTAACTAGATGCAAAATTAACTTTCATGAATTACTAAAGTTATTGGGTAGAAGTTTAACTGAAAATATACATTCCGTATTATATATATATATATATTTCTACAGTACAAAGTCCGAGGCCTGGACTCGTCGGGACTTCGACGATCCCAGATTTGAGATTTTTCCGGATATTAGATCATTTTAAATCTACTAAGATGGCACGTAGAAATTATAAAATTGAAAATATGAAATCGTGATTTATGAAATAATGAAGCATTTATGATTTAAAGGGTACCAAATTTACTAAAGAAACGAGCTTAATATTTATATGTTTACATTATTAAACATTTCTTTCAATGTGAGTTGTTTTCTCTGCTAATACTTTAGACTAATACTATAGACATATAATTTCTTGTTCAGTTATTAAGTTCCATTGTTCAAGTCCTGTAATTGCTGTGTCGAGAATTCCGAATAACTTGTCAATCAAAATTTTTTCTCATTCAGTAACCTCTGTTACTTTTCTTCACTATCGGTAGCTGTATTTTCTGGATTTAGAACCATACTACAGATTTCGCCCTCCGTTAATTGATTTGATGATTGGGCATGTCATCGCAATGAAAAACTTCTGTTTAACTTCGCTAAATTCTGCCGCCTGGTGCGGCCATGCGAGCTCTGGCGCTGGTTCTGGCTTTATGTGAATAACAAATCAGTTATTCTTAATTCAAATAGCACTAAATATAATCGTTTGTCCTATGAGTATCATTAACAAAATCTATTTTTTAGCATAAGGAAAGAAATTTCTGCTAAATCTCCCCTTGTCAACATTTTTAGCGCATTAAACTTAAATCTGTAATCGGATAATACTCTGTTATTTGGCGTCGCTGCATGATTCATCACTCAAGTTGTCATCCGTTGATAAACATGCGGTGATGAAAGCAAAATACAATAAATAATGATTCGCGATTTCGGCATCAAGGATATAAAATATTAGTTGGTGTAAAATTAACAAATGTTTTCGGTTTGAGATTATGCCAAGCAGATACGCAGCTATGGAGTCAAGTTACTAATCACACAAATTTATGCTAAAGTAATTATTTCTTCAATAATGAGATATTTTATTTAGCACCAAACTGAGATTAAGAATCGGGATTTCTGGCATGTTTTTTTATGATGAGGGAAAAAAATCTAATGCGCAATTGGTTGGTGGTGGCTTTGAGGTCCAGATTTTAGATCATTCCAGATATTAGATGTCCGGATCTCGGACTTTGTACTGTATATATATATACATACATCTTTCAAAATATAACTTACCAGTATGGATTCACTCTTTTAAAATAATTCTACTTTAATTAAACTTAGGAGATAATATAATCAATTAATCTATATTGTTTAGGAAATAAATTATATATATATAGTAAAAAATGTATATTTTCACTATTCAAGTATTCACTGTGACAGGTATTCTTATCTTGTCACATGAACAGGCCTCTGTGGAAAGGGGCTTCTCTGTAAATAAAGCAATTGAATTTGAAAATTTAAGTGACTCATCATACATTTTTCAACGCACAGTATTTGATTACATAAATTTTTTCTGGAGGTGTTCTTAATATCGAAATTAATAAAGAAATGAGATCAGCAGCAACTTCTGCAAGAAGTGGAGTTCGTTATTTAGAATTCAGTATTTAGAAGAAGTTCAGTATTTAGAAGAACAAAAATCTTTAACTAAATCTGAAAATTCAAAGAGGAAAAGAAATATTATTGAAGAAGAAATTGATTATATGAAGCAGAAGAAAAAATTTTTTCAAAGGGACATTAAAGACATTAATGAAAAGTAGATGCTTTAGCAGATAAAGCTGAGACCAAACAGGAACATTGATTTGTTTATCAAAGCAAATGAACTTAGAAGAATAGTTTAAGAAAAGGAAGATTTCAGATTTAAAAAAAGCACAAATTGTTTTGTATCTTTTATTGTACAGTTTATTATTCTAGTATCTTTCAAAAACCAAAGGAAATAAATTGTATGTTTTACAAATCAGTTATTTTAATCTGCAAAATATTCTTACATTGTGATTTTAATAGTAGTTGACTGTGTTTAAATAAATATCAAAATAAGTTAAATAAGTAATCATGTAAATCTCTAAAATACGTATGACTGTTATTAGTGTAAACTACACTTATACATGTTTTTCAAGAAATCTTATGTTCCTAATTTAATGTTATCTGCCTTCATAACTTGTAGGGAGTTAGTTTAATTTTCAAACTTGTTTTATGTTTATTGATAAGTATTAAATTGAATTTAATAATAGTGCATAATACACACTTCTGTTATTTTTTTAAAGTCAAATTACAAGCATGAAGTCGGTTGTATGGATAATTGCTTTATTCTATTCATTTTTTTGTTTGCTGATAGGTCCTTAATTTTTTCTTTGATGGTTCTTAAAAGTCCTTAATTTTCATGTAAGGAAATGTGTACAAACCCTGTATGATCGTTATGCTTATATTATGAGCATATGTATGAATATTTATAATAGTATAGTTGCAGGAACTGCTGAAGTATAGATAAACTTCCAAAAATGGGTGTGTTTTTACACAGATTAGCTTTGTAAGGAATAATATTCGGAATGGCTTAAATAAAAGGAAAGTAATCGAATAGTCAAAATAATTTCATTTTCTTTGCCAATACATTATACAGTACAGAGGTGAGTTCTCTCAAATCTCTAATATTGAAGCAGCGGACTTTTTTTTTTTTTTTTTTTTTTTTTTTTTTTTCACTGTCCAATCTGGATTGAATAGGACTAAAATTTTTGCGGTCTACCCAACCCAAGCGACGATTGATTTTATGATTTTATTCCGGAAATTTAATACAGTCTGTTGAAAATTAGAATCAGAAAACACCCCAGATTAGTAAGTCTTTCTTTTCCTTTATTTAGTTCTTTTTTTTCTCCGAATACGGCAGTGTTGATTCCAATTGCATATATCACTAATATCACATATGGAAGAATTACGCCGCACGTATTGCGCAATAACGTTTGCGGTATTTTGCATTGATAATTAATTTTGATGTTCAGTCTGAGATTTGTTTATGCACACTTAAAAGAGTTTTACTGTGCTTTCTAAGCAGAATATTTCTCAGCTCCGTTGGTTTTTATATGATGCACATATCGAAATGTCAAAATCATTTATTTAGCCTAAATTTAAATCTAAAGAACAGCTACAATCTCCCCCACTCCTCTTTTTCCAGTTACTATCCGGAATATTCGGGAATTTCCGAGTATGTGGGTTAGTTAAGCTTTTACTGTTAAAGGATGACTGAATGAAGCAATTTCCCGTCTTCTGATTTCCGAAATGTGCCTCTTTATTACTTAAATTACTTTGCTTGGGATATATGTTAAGGGAAAACTATTATGAAAATTTAGAAAATGTTCAGAATTTTGATTTAAGTTAAATTATTTAAATATTAATATGAGTGGAAAAATAAATTGTATTTATTATTAGGTGCCAAATGAATATAATTAATATGGCTTATTATTATTTATTTTCTATATTTTCAACTGAAATATCATCATTAAATTTTGTAATATAGTTTAGTTCTGCATAGTTTTTTTTTTTTTCCTCTCATTGTAAACTAATTCTGTAAATTGAACTGTCATTTAAAAATTTAAAAAAAAAAAAAAAAAAAAAAAAAAAATGAGTTAATTGTTTTCCATTGTTGAGGTAATGCTCATTCTCTTAATAAATATTGCATTGCTCATATTTTAAATTACAAGTCTAATTTTTCTTTTAAGGTTATGCAGTTGTGTATAATGTAATTAGACAGGTGCTTATTTTTTTCTTTAAAATGTGCTTGAAAAGTGCTTATAGGTGCTTTTTTTTATAACTAAAATGTGGCTATGAAGCCTGTGTACCCCAAAAACATATCCAAAGTCTCTTTGAATCAATGCAGAGTCTCTTTGAAGAATGGCGGCTACTCTGGCTACTGATTCCATTCCACACTTCACAGAAGTCTATAAATTTAATCATTTGATACTTGGTCAATATGCTACCTACTAAATAAATTTTGTTGTGATATCTCTTGTCTTTCTTGGTGTTGCAATTTGGGTGGCTAGCAGTGTATATTGTTTGTCCTACCTATGTATGGACATTTTAGTATAATTAGTGACTATTTTAGAAAGTTTTCTTTGTTCATTGGTATTAGAAAGTATAAAGTAAAATCATATATCTTTAAGATATAGTTGTGAATATAAAATTTCGAAAAGTAGGAATACAATATGCTTGAAACAATATGAATCGTATTTTTATTATTCTTATTTAGAAGTTAGAGAAATTACTGATTTTTATTTGGAAGACATTTTTATGATAGTTATTTTTGTCTGTTAGATATCAGAGGAATTAAGTCAAAGACACTGGATATTTCCAACTAATTCTAAATGGTGGGAAGAACTAAAACAAAAGAAACTGCAAAATGAACTTGCTGTGAAGGTATGAGACATAAATGTAAAGTTTTTCATAAACCATTTTGTTCATGTGTATCTTGTTCATATGTATCTTATTGTCAATATGTTCTTATGTATCTTGAACATCTTTGACAGTTTTGTTACTTCGTAACTATTTCTTAAATTGAAAAGCTGAAATTCATTATGCTTTCTTTGAAAATTTTAAGTCGGTTCAAAAGAAGTTTGAACTCATGGTGATAGTGTAAATTCATATTGTTATATTTAATATCTACTGTTAATTGCATTGTTGCAAAAATTTAGTTTTCAAGTACTATTTTTGTACATACTGATCAAAGAAGTATAAATAGGAAATAGACTGAAAAATTACCATATGACTTACAGAAAGCCTATAGAATTTGATTTATGTGTGGCAAAAATAAGTAATTATCTGTCTGGGACATTGAAAGTGACATCAGTGTGGACATGTCATTGAAAGTGACTTAAAGCAGATTTTATCTGTTTAAGCATTTATATTCCACCAGTGTATAATTTTAAATATTGATATCTTGGCACTTTTTTTTTTATCCAGTTTCACAATTTAAAGCAATAGCTGTTTGTTTATTGTAAGAAGAACTGATCTAAGCATTTGTAAGTGAAGGCTTCAGTCAGAAATACTTCCTTTTAGTTTCCTAAAATGTCATTTCTAGGCTATGAGTAGAATCCTAGAGGATGAGAGATATTTTATCAGGAAGGTAAAAGCAATCCGTTTTCCGTTTTAAGAGATTATGATCAATAATGTGAGATGAGAAAGAAAAAGATTGAATACAGTCTTTTTCAGCATAATCTGTTTAACACCATACGACAATGGATTTTAAGGCTAATTGCTTGCTGTCAGATTCATTATTTTGATGTCTGATATGACTGACAAGTGATGTCCATTCCTTTGAAAAGATATTATCATTCTGCTCACTGAAAAGCTGAAGTATTGGGACTTGTATTTGGTAATTGGACTTGTACTTGGTAATTGCTGTATTCATGATTCATTTGGACTGTGCTGTCAGGGGATATAGATAATATATTGGTTATCTTTTTTTGTGCTTGTAGATCATCATCAGTGTGGAACAGTTAGATGGATGGTTTTGAGGGAAATTTCATAAATGGATATACATAATTAAGAGAATTATTGAGAATGGAATAGAATCCTGAAACCTGCATTATGCATTAAGTTTATAGCTATGGAAATTCAGCCAGTCTTATGAATGATACCGGACACCTCATCAAACTCAGCTTCCTATTAACTTTGAAACTGTTGAGATATTTGTAATCGCATTCTTATTGATTAAAAAGAATTATAGCTTTCTGTCACGTCTGATGCATTCTAAAACTTAATCCTATTTTATTTGTTTATATTTTCTTTATGTTATCTTTGATTGGTTGTTTTCTGCATCTTGTTTGTGATTCATTAAACCATGATCTGCTGTAAAGTTATATATATAACCTCTGCAAATCTTTTCGCTTTTCGCTGTGTGTCTGTGTATTTCTTCTTTTTGCTCTGTAATAAATGTTTGTTTTCCAAACCACAGCGTTTTAAATGTTCAACAGAAACTAGTATAATTTTCCTTTGTATTGAATGAGTATCCGGGACGAATTTAGCATCTTGCATCTTAATTATTTTATTCCATGCCATGCAGAATATCTGGCATTTATTTTTGTAGTGAAATAGTAAAGAATTCTTAGGAGCTTATAAATAATTTAACAACAATGTCATGAAGATATACCAATATTGATACTCAGAGGATAGCATGATATAAGAGTGATCCTCCAGGACTCACTCATTTTGTATTTTACGATTACTGGTATGTCATATGTATGCAGTTGATGGTTACATATGAGAATTTATTGACAGTTTGTGAAGACATTTTATTTGTTCACATGCTTTTATTTTCTTTTACATGACATTCTGTTTTATAAATATTTCTATCTTTGCAGTAAAGGAAAATCTATTTATTGCTTAAATGAGCAGTATATTTATTAATTTATTGTGCATATAATTTTTGTGTTCCATTTACTTTTCAAATTGTTGCCATCAAATGTTATCACGATGTATCACTTAAAAAAATATAAATAAGGAAGAGTCTTTATGTATGTTTTTAAAATTATGGGAAAGAGAGAGCATTCAGAGCCGTCAAAATTAAAATTTAAATACACATAGTCCTCCAACTGAACATGGACACCTGGAAGCCCAAATTTTAAATTTCAAAATTTGTTTTTGGTTTATTTTATATTTTGCACAATTTAAATGAATTTTTGTTTAACAAACTCAGCAATTTAAAAGCAAGAACAGGCAACACTGTTCAAAATAAAAGATTTTTATCTCCGGTGTGCTAGACTTAGACTGCCTCAGACTCAATGTGCAATTTTTATCTCCAGTATTGCCGTTTGGTAAAATGTAAGATATTTATCTTTAAATTTTAATCCACATATTCAGTTATTTCAGCCCCAGCATGTTGCCACTCTATAAGTGTAATAATTTAACTGTCATATTTAATCTTTGAGTTACTGAGTAGCAAACAAAGTGACTGAAAAATAATAAAATGCAGCTCTTAAAAATATTTTTCTACTTCTTTAATCGGATTGATGTAAATAAAATTGAATTTTAAATCATAAGATCTATAATTAGAAATATAAACATTTTTATGAAATTACACTAGCTAGAGTCATTAAAACCATTGTGTAATTTTTGCTTTAACTCTTTTACGTAGTTGGCTGCTCAAGCAGCTAGTTTTTAAAGACATAAGATAGTGAATAAAAAAAGTATGAAAATACCTAATACTCTACTGAGAATTCTAAAGATATGCTGTTTTTAAATATTTCTGAAATTTTATATGGGGTAAGTGTGAAGAAAGTGTTGTTGTCTATTGAACAGTGATATTAATATTAATGTGAAAATGCACATTTTGACAGTAAAAAATATGCAATGTAATTATCAGTACTGAAATTTTTTCTCCTTCTCCCTTTTTTCTATCCCAAAGGGCTATTAATTTCATTTTAGCATTTTGTGTTGATTAACTGTAAAAATGTTGGTTCACTTTTCAAATTGTTGTCACAAAATATTAGAGCTCTCTATTATATTTAAAGAAATTAAATAATGAAGAATCTGCATAAATGTATGTATGTTTCTCACATTGTGATAAAACAACGGTACCTAGAGCCATCAAATTTTGTATAACGTACGTTTCCAACCAAATATGGGCATCTGGAAGCTCAAATTTGAATATGGAATTTGTTGTATTAATTATTTCATGTTTTGTAAAACTTTAACGAATTTGTGATTAACAAACTAAACAATTTCAAAGCAAGCAATGGCAACACTGTAAGGAAAAAAAAAATTGTCTCCAGTGTGTAAGACTGTCTATCAGAAATTCTAAAGATATGCTCATTTTAAAATTATTTTGTGATATTGTTGTTGAACTGAATTTTATGGTATAAGTGTGAAGAACATGATATTTAATAAATAAAGTTAACACACAAAACATTTAAAAAAAAATGCCTCTTTGAGCATAATGTAAAATCTGGAAGCTTTCAGATTTTTTATTTATTTAATCTTTTGAATTCCCTCCCATAATGCAACATTTAATATATTTCTCTTCTTTACATAGGAAATGATTTCAGACAAATCAACACCTCTCAATTATTATGCTGCTTACCATGAAGTAAGATTTTAAATATCATTCTAAAATTAGAATAATTATATTTCCAATAAATTTCAAATTACTAAAACATTGGCAGTTTAGAATTTACATATATTTTAAAATAATTTATAATTTAAAGTAATAGAAGTTTATCATTTTTATTTTGTAATTAATTTTCCTTTAGATACAAGCTTTAATTCCATTTGATTCTATTATTGTAAATGAGGGAGCTAATACAATGGATATTGGACGAACAATGTTATTGAATGAATTTCCTCGGCACAGGTATTTATTCATTAAGTGTATGCATTCAGTGTCGTCTATTAATTCAGTTTTAAAATTTTTCTCCATTTCGTTCAATAGTTCTGTAAGTTTTCTAAAATTCCAACTTAAAGAAGTACTAAAGGAATTTTTTTATCCATCAAGTCTGCCACTTATTTTTGAGCTCATCAGTAGTTGAGGTGACAAAACTATGTAGCACTCGATATAAAGTTAAATCAGTTTCCATCAGAAATCAAAACTTTTTCCGAACCTACAGGATCGATGCAATTACAGGATTAGCAGAAAATGGGAACATAACAAAGAGAGTGCTTCATTATGTATTTTTTATTGGTATTAAAACTGTTTATGATGTTGTTATGGCAAAAGGTATGTATGTATAAATGTACCAATGGCTTTTGCAACTTAATTTTCCTCACATGTCGTAACTTTCTTCCTGTGAAAAGTAAGCTTATAAATGCTGTTTTTCTAAAAGTCATGATTATGATGTGATGAAGGTAAAAATGTGTTTCAGCTTCTTTCACACCATTTTATTTGTTTCTGATTTCTTGTTTTCACAGATAATTATTTAATAACAGGGCTTCATAACTATTTTGCTGTATTCCTTCATGGTATCTTGTGTTCTTGGCAAATTGGATAAAGAGCAAACTATCTGTTCATTTATTTCTGTCTTTATCATTAACTCATGCAGTTAACATGGTCTGTATGTCCTGATGGTCATTTCAACTGAGCCTTCTTTTTGCTATGACAAGTTTTTTTTTATTTTTATTTATTTATTTTTTTTAATAACAGGCCAGTCTAAAGGATTATTATTAGAAAAATAAGAATGTAGAAGGAATTTACTTCTAAGATGTGTTACATATCTATATCCACTGTTTTATTTTTTGCGTGTGCAATACTGAACTGTGTATCTGTAGAGAAAATGATAACATAGAATTAATAATAGCAAGATAATAGGTTATTTGAATATGCAAAGTATAGAATGGCTACCTGCCCAAAGGAAGGGATGTCTTCATGGAGGACTTTATAAGAGTGGCTCATATTCACATTACTCATGGTAAAAACTATGAAACTCAACCATACAGCTTGCCTGTTTCCCTGGGCTCAAACGTAGGTTGAACTACTAGCATTCATTAGTCTTAAACTGCTTGACCACTGGTGGGAGCAGCAAGATAATATGCTAAGAGTAAGATGTATAATCTTTCTTTTCCATATACTATAAAAGACCAAAATTAAACAATGTCAGTTTTCTCAGATGAATCTTGATAAGTAAAAAATATGTTAGTGAACAATCAAAAATTTAGTTGTATTTTAACATTCACTATTAATAAATAAAACTCTACTAAGTCATGTTATGTGGCAAGAAAAAATACTCTTCAAAAGAGTAATAAAAGCATAAATCTATTTACAGAAAATTGCCAGTTTGTTGCGGGTTACGGTTTACATACCTCTACCTTATAAGAGAAAATCATGCTTTTACCAATCCCTGTAGCTAAGTATTGAATTAAAAAGTGTGGCTTATCAATTGCTGACAGAAGTCCATGGCATTTGTTTGCTAGATTTTTGAATACTCTGCTGTTTGTCAGTCTTATGTAATTGCTGATGTGGGAAATGTTTGTTTATTTTTTATTTTTATCTGTTATTCTGTTTTATTTTAATGGTTACTGTGGTGATCAAGGCCTTTTTTTTTAAAGTTACATATATTAATTGATTAATAGTGAGTAAATAAGAAGGCAGTTTTTATTTTGCTAATAAAATACTTTCTGCCAAAACTAAGTAAATCTTTGAATTGCAGTTGATTAAAATGCTTTTACTTTTTAAAAATTTATGATGAAGAGAAGTTAGTTGTGCCATTAAAACTTGGAGAAATGAATGCACAGTATTATATTACCAATAATGAATTGTTTAGTGTGCTATCTGAAACTCACATCAGAAGAGGTTATGAAGGAAGTGCACACATATGCTTAAAGACTTGCAAGTTAAAGACAGAAATATTATATATGAAGTTGTAATGTTGTATTTAAAGTTTTGAAAATATTGTCAAATGAAATACACTGCACCTAAAAAAGGTATTGTTGTAAAACCAGTGGTCAGTCCGGAGTTAAGCTCAAGATCTCAAGTCAATCTGATAGACCTGCAGTCATGCATGGATGACAAATATTAATTCATAACTGCACATCAAGACCATTTAACGAAGCTTGTCCAGTTACGACCTTTAGAAGAAGCAGCATATCGCCACCTTCAAATGTTTCTAACATTTGGTGTCTCAAATATATTGCATTCAGATAATGGTAGGGAATTCAGTAATCAAGTCAGTGGGGAAATATGTTAAGATATCTTACGGAAAGTCCTATAATAGTCATATAGATGACTCAGTTGAAAGGGCTATTCAGGGTATATAGAATATACTAATTGCATGGATTAATGATAAAGATTGAAATAAATGGTCAGATGGTTTTTCTTTTGTTTAATTTCCAAAATATAACATTAACATGAAAACATACACTTAAGACCTTATGAAGTCTGTTTGATTTTAAACCAAAGACAGGCATCGTATTATCATCTTTGCCTGGCGAGCAAATGACAGATATTGAAACTCAAAAAGTTCAAAGAAATTTTTAGTATTTTTGAATAAAATATGAGTAGTGACTATACCCAAAACCATATTCCAACAGAAAGTATTGAAGTTTTGCAACCTACTGCATCTTCATATTAAACCATGACTGAACAACATGAATTTATTCATGTAAAAGAGCAACCGCAAAAGAAAATCTTCTACTACAAGCATTGCAAACCTCAAAACGAAAATTTCCCCCCCATTCAAATTGGTGCTACCATATGAATACAAGTCCTTGATGATAACTGTAGTTATACTGAATGCCTAAAATGTATTGGTGGTTATTGTTGGAATAGAAGACCTTTGACTTTTATAAATTGGGAAAACAAAAATGGTACCCTTAAGCAGCTTTATACCTGTAATAAGTTCATAATTTGTAAAGTAAAGCTACTTTTCATAGGTGAAGATTCTTCTTAAGAAATATCACTCAGAGAAGCAACTGCAATTGGTATTATATTATCTTTTCTGATTTAAAAACGTACTGTTTGTTTTAGGTTCAGGAGTTTATTTACATGTGCTGTTACATAAGCTTTCTCCTTTTCTGGCATATACCATAATGTGTGTTTAATTAAAAAATATGATTTAAAAAGTTGCATTTTTATCTTAACATTGTGGGATCTAATTCTTTTCACTATCATAAAATGTAACTAGATCGAATGGAAGAAATGTTACTAGACTTAGATCTGTTGCAAGGATTGACTACCTAAGTGTTAATCCTTGTGACTACTAAGTGTTAATCCTTGTGACTTCTCACACAGGCTTGATGAACACAACCAGGAGAAAGGTGTATAAGACCCTTTTATTGAACGCAATGTAGTTTACACATGGCATGGACTTAAGTGCTGACTGATACTGACCACTTGCAGTGAGAACTTAAAAGATACTTAATACTAAATTTAAAGGTAGGAGTAGTATAAGACTACCCAATACAATTTAATTTAGCAGGTCGAATCAGAACCTACACTGACAGTATAATAATTTGGTGGCAAGAATGCAAAGCCACTATTCAAGGTTAACAGCTGGAAGAAATAGCAGTGTGTGCTCACAATAGTGAAACCAAGCTCTGACTAAATGTTTTGCTACATCAGTTTAAATACACTCATTCACTTTAGCTAATTTGCATCCTGGTAAGGTAGCGTGAGGGGAATAAGAGAAGGCAGAAAAGGTCAATAAATTAAAATAACTATTAGTAAAAATAAATAAAATCCTACAACATAACAAAAATATTTGATTCAACATTCACCATCAGTGCCTGCTGAATGTTGGTGAAAATGAGAAATAATATTTAGCAAACATTTATGTGAATGCTGACCATTCACCACAGAATATCAACATTTACTAGATGTCGGTCTTTCGCAGTAATATATATAATTGGCCATGTAGATTTTGTAGCTACCATACATTCAGTGCCTTTAAAATGCAGATTATACTATGTAGGTAATTTTGTTTTAATATACAGTTTTATTAAATATGTATTTATTTTTTTATTAGCCCAATAGGGCTATTAGTCTCAAAACTTGATGATTTTGCATTTTTTTTCCTTTTAATTCAAGTCTATTGCCATTCGCAAAAGTGTAAAATAGTATTCTTTTATATTTAATATGTATGTTATTAAGAAACTAGTATTTAAAAGCAATAGTTGCTGCTCTTAAGAATATTATTTTCTTACTTTTTAAATGGATTGATTTAAATAAAAATGCATTTAATTCATGATATGTCTAATTAAAAACATTAAATATTTTTATATGTTACATATATTTTTACTTTTCAGCTAATATCCTATAAAATATTTCATCATTTCACCTGCGCCATCTGTATCAATAATCTCTACTGATAAACCATATTAAACTTTGAAAAAGCCTTTAGGACAATAATAAAATTTGAAATTCTTTCAGATTTTTTTGTAGAAATATCTTTGATAGTTATCATTTTACATTGCTTTTTATTTATTTATTTAGAAAAA